ACAGTGCGTGATTAGCAGCAGTGCCCCCTGGAGGCGGCCGCCTTTATATTATCCTGGTTTTGATTGCTCACGTTTTAAAAGGAGTTTGTCGGCTGGTTTTTCATTTATTGATTATCAATTAGTTTGTGTGGTGAGCATCAACATCTATTAATTGGGTAGTGAATCCTTCATTTAATTAATTTTTGGTAAACCAATCAGGTCCAATAGGGATAATATTTCATAATTGAGGAAGTGAACTAATAGTCTGTAATCGCTTGATCCTAGTTGTGGGATAGTATATAGTTAAATACTATATAAGTATAATTAAATAAATATAGAAGTATAAATTTAATTAATTAGACATAAGTAATATTAGAATAACAACAATAATACATAATACATAAATATCAATAATATAACAATAATAATAATAATATAAATATAATAATAATAAAATAAATAGATAATTAAATAAATAAATAAAATAAAATAAAATAAAATAAAATAAATAAATAAATAAATAAATAAATAAAAATAAAAATAAAATAAAATAAAATAAAATAAAATAAATTAATAATAATAATAATAATAATAATAATAAATTAATAAATAATACAAAAAAAAATTATTATTAAAATAATATAGTTTAAAAAAAAAAAAAGAACAAACAAACAAACATACAATAGTAGACTAAATCAAACAAAAAAAAAAAATTTAAAATTAAGTAAATCGATCAATAGCTATAAACGTGTACTGATTATTTGACTATAACCCGTCATTAGAAGTTTTATCTCAGTACACCGGGCACACCAATGGCGCCCAAGAGAAAGTGCTCATCCGAATCGACTCGCAATAGGAATGCAATCCCACGCAGCGCGGCTAGCACATCGCGCGGGAACCCAGGAAAGAATAATAACCAGAAACCTATTGCGCATTTCCTTAAGGCATTTAGGTCTTTCATAGACGATTACGAACAAAGCTTCCCAGAACAACCCAGCAGCCCTCCCTCTTCTCCCGACGCCATCCCGGATACGCAGGTGGTTCCAGAGAGTCCACGGTCCTCCCATTACGATGAGCTTCCTAGCACCTCAGCCGCTCTATTCAGCGATGCCCAACTGTCAAGGGCGGGATCATACAGTAGATCGGAGCCGGTTCGGACTAGGTCCCAATCTAAATCTTCATCTGCGTCTCGTGCGAGGGGGGGGAAGGTGACAGCTAAGTCGACACGTGTTAATAACCCTGTTGCCCCCAGTTCTTCCAATCGCTCACAGGAAAAGCGGCCCAGGGCGCAATTACCGGAATCAGCTTCTTCTTCCGCAGCCGAGGATGAGCAGCAGGAACAAGGGGAGGCCCTCAGTACGCCTTCAGAAGACAAGCCATCAGGGAAGAGGCGTGAGAAGAAGAAGCACATCTGCAGGAAAAGCAAGTCAAGGAGGGACGACACCGACGAGGAGACAGGTAGTTCTTCTTCCGAGTATGATAGTGATGCGTCCTTAGGGTCTTACTGGGGTAAGGGAGAGGAAGTTTCCGGACTTCCCGACTGGGCTCTCTCTAGGAGGGCCAACAGCCATCGAAAGAAGTTCGGGGGGACTCAGGAGTGGAAGGACGGAGCTCTGGTAAAGGCTTCTACAATTTCCACTTACTCAACGTCCGATGTTATACCCGGTGACCATCTCTCCCCCAAATTGCGTGCAAAAATTTTGAATGGTGAGTTTGTCGATATGTTCAAGCTAGTTCCCCCAACAGAGGAGTTAGGTAGGGGCGAAAAGAGGCCTTCCCACGGAAAACGGAAAAGCAGGTACCCTTCCGTGCCTCGGACATTCGAGAACTGGCTAGACGGGTTTCAGGCCTTTATGGGGACAATAGTTGCAGCCTATCCTAAACGGGCTGTTCACTTGGTTGCTTACCTTTCTCACATTCGAACGGCTTGCGCCCTCTCGGGGGAAGCCGCCGCCATAAATTATGACAAGAAGTTTCGTAGAAAGGCCTCCAGGATCCCACTTGCACGCTGGGACCAGATCGAAAATGGCATCTGGTCAGTAGCGGTCGGCCCGTACGTGGAGAGAAAGCAGGCAGATTCATTCCGTTCCGCCAGGGCCGACCCTAGGAAGGAATTCAGGCGCAGGGTTTGTTGGGAGTACAATAAGGGGTCTTGCCAAAGGCCTTCATGTAAATACCCGCACGAATGCGAGAGATGCGCTGGGGCTCACCCGGTTGCAACCTGCTTCAAAGGGGGAAAACAGCCCTTTCGCGGGGCCGGGGGTTCCATAACTCCAGTTCCAGGGGAGCCCCCGCGGCAGGGAACAGAAGATAACATTGTTTTGGACATGGCCTTTTCCCCTGTCAAGATTGCCCCTCTTTGCTACCTCCTGTCCTTTTATCCAGACACAAATGCAGCGGCTTACCTTCGAGAGGGGTTTTCCAACGGTTTTCGCATCCCAACATCGGGTTCTTTAATAGCAAAAGATTCCCCCAACCAAAAGTCCGTCAGGGAAAGACCGGAAGTCGCCGAGAGAAAGATAACCAAAGAAGTGAGCGCAGGCAGGGTAGCGGGTCCATTCGATTACCCCCCCATTCCTAATTTGCACGTATCACCATTGGGAATCGTTCCAAAAAGACCCCTGGGGAATTCAGGCTTATCCACAACCTCTCGTACCCAAAAGGGGGCTCTGTAAACGATGCCATCCCTCCTGAGCTGTGCACAGTGAAATACGCCACCTTTGATCAGGCAGTTAAGTTAATCAGGAGTTTTGGTCCCGGAGCGCTTTTGGCGAAGTGTGACATAGAATCGGCCTTCCGCCTTCTGCCTGTGCACCCTGACGATTTCCGGTTGCTGGGGTTTAAATTCCAGGGAAAATATTACGTGGATAAGGCTATGCCAATGGGCTGTTCAGTAGCTTGTTCGGCGTTCGAAACTTTTAGCACATTTTTGGAGTGGGCCTTGCGTTTTAGGACCAAGTCTGTTGGGGTTACGCACTATCTCGATGACTTTCTTTTCGTGGGTAGGTCCAACAGTGGGGAATGCGCCTTCTTGCTTGGGGCATTCTCGGCTCTAGCCCAAGAGCTGGGGGTACCCCTGGCAGCTGATAAAACAGAGGGTCCGGCTACTCGGCTCACCTACTTGGGCATCGAGTTGGACACAAACGCGCAATCTTCCCGCTTACCGGTGGAAAAATCGACTCCCTTTCGGAAGTAATCCGAAATACCCTTACGCTACGGAAGATTACTCTTAGGCAAATCCAATACCTCTTGGGTCATTTCAATTTCGCGTGCAGGGTGGTCTCCCTGCACGCCCCTTCTGTGCCCGCTTGGCCAGGCTCTCAATGGGACTCAAACACCCACACCACAGGGTCCGATTACCCAAGTCAGTCAAAGCCGATCTAGAGGTCTGGTTAACATTTCTCGACCGTTACAATGGGGTGTCTCTTTGGCAGGATGTTCTCAATTTATCCTCCGATTTCCAGGTCCAGTCGGACGCTGCGGGATCCCTGGGCTTTGGCGTGTACTTCAGGGGTCGTTGGTGCGCGCAACGATGGCCACCCGGGTGGCAGGGTGAGGCCATCACGCGGGATCTCACTTTTCTCGAGTTCTTCCCTATAGTAGTTGCTGTACATATCTGGACAGACGAGTTTCAAAATCGCCGGGTGTGCTTCAGGACCGACAACCAGGCGGTGGTGAACATCCTGGCGAAGCAATCATCGCGATCGGCGAGGGTTTCCTCCCTGCTTCGGGCTTTCGTCCTTCGGTGCCTTGAGTACAATATAATTTTTCAGCCAAGTTTATACAGGGGATTAAGAATGATATAGCCGATGCTTTGTCTCGCTTTCAGATGTCTCGCTTCCGTTCGCTGGCACCTGGTGCACAACTGTTGCCCGAACCCTTTCCGGAGCACCTGTGGAGCATTGGAGACGCAAAGTGATTCAGGGAGTATTGGCGTCTGTCGCACCTTCCACCATCAGGTCTTACAAGAAGGCCTGGTGCGATTTCCTGGACTTCAGGTCCCGGGTGTCTGGCTTCTCACCCGACATGCCACCCACCACCGAGGATGTCTTGCGATACCTTTCCCATCTAGACGATTTGGGTCGAGCACCCAAAACCCTGAAGATACATGTGGCCGCCATTAGTTTCTTTTCAAAAGCCACTTTTGCCTTCGATCCGTGCTCCGATTTCCTGGTCCGCAGAGCTATAGAGGGTTGGGGCAGGTTGCAACCCCTAGGGGCAAGGGCCGTAAGCCTATCTCTTACGGGTTGCTTTCCCAGATACGAGCAAAACTTAGGTCTATGTGTTGGAGCAGGTTCGAGGCCCGCCTTTTCTCTGCCGCTTATGCTATCGCCTTCTTTGGCGCCCTAAGAGTCGGTGAAGTAGTGGCCGAGGTTAGTGCGAGCGGTTCCACGCGCGGCCTTTTGGTAGATGACATACAACTGTCCGAATCTAGCATGACGTTGCGTATACGTCAATCCAAGACAGACCAGGCCGGGAGAGGGGCGTTAATTAAACTTACAGCATCTGCGCAGCAGGGTCCATGCCCAGTCAAGGATACCAGGCGGTACCTCCAACTCAGACCTCCCGGCCCAGGTCCCCTTCTGATCCACGAGGATAGGTCTCCCTTATTGAGACATCAATTCACAAGGGTACTTCGCAAAGCTATTGATGCTTGTGGTTTACCTGCACAGGATTATGCTGCTCATTCTTTCAGGATTGGCGCCGCAACGACAGCTGCGCGGTTGGGTCTGCCTGCCGATAGGATTAAGGAAATGGGGCGGTGGAGGTCCAACGCGTATAAAGGTTATATCCGCTAGACTGCGCTCTACCGCATGACCCTACTTACCTCGTCTTTTCTTCTTTTATTCTCAGCTGTTTTCAGGAGGAGTGTGTGGATTTGCGGCCACAGTATAGTCCATTGGGCTCGCGTCCGGGCGATCAGCTGCGGCCTTACATCTAACCTCGGTTTACCAACTGGTGTTCGTGTTTCCTGGTTCGCAAGGCGCGGCATGCGCTGGGAGGAGCTCCTCCCGTTGTTGAGAGCGAAAGTAGCCACGGTCGGTTTTCCCGACATCCTTATCATTCAACTTGGGGAAAATGACCTTGTCGACAAGAGAAGTGCGGACTTGTCATGGCACATAAAAAGAGACTTGGTTGAGATTGCCTCCCTATGCCCCGGAACAACGGTGTTCTGGTCGTCCTTTTTGAAGAGGACCGTGTGGCGTGGAGCGCAGAGCTGTATGGCCGTTGAAAAGACCAGGAAACGTTTGAACCGGGTAGTGTCCCGATGGGTGCGCTTTATGTATGGCCAAATCATTTATCATGACCGCATTCGGATTGGCAATCCGATTTTGTTTCGGACTGATGGGGTCCATCTCTCCGACATGGGGAACGACATTTGGCTCGATAGCATCATCAATAGCATTAGGGATTGGTTGCAGCTGTGAGGGTATTGGCGGCGAGCCTCTTGGGCTCGGGTGGCGGTTAGGCATTGGAAAATTGTGATGTGGAACCGAAGAGCTAGGTGTGGCCATCGCCTATGCCTTCAATATTTTGGGTATTCCGTTAAAGGAATCTGGCGGTCGTGTATTCTGTCCGATGCCTGCTTGGCTGGAGGCCATGGCACGACCCTCGGTGACATCAGGGGAGAGCCTATAGTTGGATGATCATCAACAGGCTCCATCCTTCTGGTGAATAACCCCCTTTGCTTTAAACATCCAATGCCTAAGCCAATACCTTTTCTCACTGCTGTAATCAATAAAGTTGTGGCCTTTTCTTGCCCATCAACCTTATATCTCGTGTCCTTGTCTACTTATTTCACATGCGGAGGTCGGGTCCTCGAACCACAAGGACTCTCCTCCCCTGAAGGGAGGGGAGTGGTTGTGGGCGGGAGCCTGGGCTCCGCCTCCCCTCATTCACCTGGCTGGCGCCCGCCCCATCGGCTGGAACCCAACCAGGTGCCTCCGGGGGGGCGTGGCCAGCATCCTAAATGCTGCGGCGCCAGCCCTCTTCGGCCTCAGTCTTCTTCGTCCCTTCGCGAGTCACCCACCCTCCACTCCCTTTGAGCTCAGGGTCTTACTCTCTATCTGGCCTTGCTATGGACCTTAGGTTGGTCGCCCTGGTTGTCCGGGGGGCCTGGTAGGAATTTTTCCATTTGGCATTCGGCTTTGTGTTTTTTCGCCTACCTCGTAGCAATCGTCACAACTTTGTGGTATTGGTGGGTAGGTTAGGCATTGGAAAATTGTGATGTGGAACCGAAGAGCTAGGTGTGGCCATCGCCTATGCCTTCAATATTTTGGGTATTCCGTTAAAGGAATCTGGCGGTCGTGTATTCTGTCCGATGCCTGCTTGGCTGGAGGCCATGGCACGACCCTCGGTGACATCAGGGAGAGCCTATAGTTGGATGATCATCAACAGGCTCCATCCTTCTGGTGAATAAACCCCTTTGCTTTAAACATCCAATGCCTAAGCCAATACCTTTTCTCACTGCTGTAATCAATAAAGTTGTGGCCTTTTCTTGCCCATCAACCTTATATCTCGTGTCCTTGTCTACTTATTTCACATGCGGAGGTCGGGTCCTCGAACCACAACCTCCATCCTTTCAAGTTCTAAGAATGTTGATATTTGTATCACCCTTCTTCTTTTTTCCAACTTTGGGCAAAGTGTGGATTATTACATCCCACTGGGATTTTGCATCACACTCTATACAGAAGAATTGGGAGGTACAAGCATTTCACGGTTCCATATCCATCACAGTCCACTCAAATCAGCCATCAGGATTCCAAAGGTTCATTCAGAAGCTGAGCCCTTTCTGGGCAAAACGAGATGGCTTTATCCAGGAGTTCTGGAAACAGGCATTTGGCTGTTTATTAAAAATGTCTGAAGTGGCAGAGGAGGGAAATGAAAATGAAATCATCTGCACTGGGGAGGAGAAGCTGGAGAGCCTTCCTGGCATTCTGTTTGAAATGGACATGACTGGCCACAGCTACAATGTCTACAATGCTGTCTATGCTGTGGCGCATGCTTTGAACGCCATCTACAAATCCATATTCAAATGTAGGGGATTGGAAG